CAAGCACCTTGAACTAAATGACTGATCGGCAGAGTTGTTTCATGAGAACCTCCCTCCGGATGTTTAACGTTATACAATGAATAAGGGTCACCCGAAGGTTAAAAATAAGCATAAAGCTGTCGCTATAATTAGGAAGTGAGAGCATAGCTGCGGCTTATTTTGTCAAACATTTCGGTTTCAATCCGTCAGGCAGAAACACCCAAAAAATAGCTCAAAGGCACAATCTGTCCCAAGTGTTCTGTTTTCTGTATCTCACCTTTCCACCAAGGGCTAAAGGGGAATGATATACAAACATCCTTCCTTCCTGCCTTCCTCCTCACCGCATTTTCTTCTTACACTCCGTTGTTGTAAAAGTTATTCTGGGATGGTGATGCCCAGAATTCTCCAGCCAACATAGGAAAGGTTCTGGGTTTTGTAGTCCCAAAAGGTAATTTCCCCAAGCGGTTCCGCTCAAGCAAAATGAGCCTTCTTGTCCTACTCTAATTGCAAGACATCTATATATATATAAATGCTCTGTTTGTTTTGAGTGACATCATAACTCAAAAACCACTGGACTAATTGCCACCAAATTTGGCCACAAGACACCTACTAAGCCAAGGAGTGACCACCACTTAAAACATTTTGATTTTGTCATTTGGGAGTTGTAGTCGCTGGGATTTATAGTTCACCTACAATCAAAGAGCATCCAGAATTCCACCAATGATAGAATTGAACCAAACTTGGCACACAGAACTCCCATGACCAACAGAAAATACTAGAAGGGTTTGATGGGCATTGACCTTGAGTTTTGGAGTTGTAGTTCACCTACATCAGAACACTGTAGTTTCAAACAATGAAGGCTCTAGACCAAATTTGGCATGAATACTCCATATGCCCACATATGAACACAAAAGGAGTTTGGGGGAAATAGACCCTGACATTTGGGAGTTATAGTTGCTGAGATTTATAGTTCACCTACAATCAAAGAGCAATCTGAACCTCACCAACGGTAGAATTGGGCCAAACTTCCCACACAGAACCCTCCTGACCAACAGAAAATACTGTGTTTTCTGCTGGTCTTTGGTGACCCTCTTGACACCCCCTCAACCCCCCCAAGGGTCCCAAACCCCAGGTTGAGAAAATACTTAAGGCCTTCCAGTCCAACTCCCTTCACCAGGGCAAGAAAACGTAATCAAAGCCCTCCTGACAAAGAGCCATCCAGCCATAGATATAGATATATATGATTACACACACACACAGATATAGTATCATAGATTTGAAAGGGACCCCTAAAGAAGGACAATGATATGTTGCATGTTCCAGAGTAGGCAACCAGACAATCTCTACATCAACACTGACAAAGAAACAACAAGAAATAGTGGGGTTTCCCACAAGCATAAAGAAATTACATATATTAGAAACCAACATTTTCTCATTACTTTATTTTCCAGATCAACAGACTGGGCCACAGCAACACGTGGCAGGGGACAGCTAGTACAATTATTTATTTATTTATTTAACTTGTATACCACTACTCCCAATTTGGCTCGGAGCGGTTTACAGAAGCAGATTAAAACAATACAAAAAACAATACATCCAGAGAGCACTGTGGACTCAAACAATGAAGGATCTAGACCAAACTTGGCACGGATACTCCATATGCCCTAATATGAACACAGATGGAGTTTGAGGAAATAGACCTTGACATTTGGGAGTTGTAGTTACTGGGATTTATTTTCCAGATCACCACACTGGGCCACAGCAACGCGTGGCAGGGGACAGCTAGTTCTGTCTAAAAGTCTAAGGGTTTAATTCAGGGCTGACAATCATACAACACTCTCGATACTGGACTGCAACTCCCATCAACCCTAGCCTGCAGTCATTGCTGAGGGATGCTGGGAGTTGCAGTCCAAACAACCACAAGAGCAGGACTTCTTAATTTTTTTCCATTCACGATCCCTTTCCACCTGAGATTTTTTTAATGTAACTCCAGGTATGTTGGTATATAAAATATGTATGAAAACCAAACGTTAGTGATAACAAATCAGCCTATGCAGAGCTTGCTCAACAGGTTGGTTTTCCTTTTATTTGTGGAGTACTATTGGAAATTCCATAACCTATTGGAAATGAATGCACCATAACCTTGTTGAAAAAGGTAAAAATGATGTCACATCCGTTTGGCAAATGTGAATCTCCATGAAAATGTGGAGACCACCTTTTGAAACCACTAGTCAAGAAAACATGATCTTGTTAGAAGTCAACCCTTTGAACAAGGGATATTCACAAGCATTAATGTAATGCAGTGTTTCTCCACCTTCCTAATCCCATGACCCCTTAATACAGTTCCTCATGTTGTGGTGACCCCCAACCATAACATTATTTTTGTTGCTAATTCATAACTATAATTTTGCAACTGTTATGAATTGTAATGTAAATAATCAATCTGCAGAATGTATTTTCATTCACTGGAATTTGGAACAAATACCTGATATGCCCAAATCTGAATACTGGTGGGGTTGGTTGGTTGCATTTGTTATTTAGGAGTTGTAGTTGCTGGGATTTATAGTTCACCTCCAATCAAAGAGCATTCTGAACTCCACCAACGATTGAATTGAACCAAACTTGGCACACAGAACTTCCATGACCAACAGAAAATACTGGAAGGATTTGGTGGGAATTGACCTTGAGTTTTGGAGTTGTAGTTCACCTGCATCCAGAGAGCACTGTGCACTCAAACAATGATAGGTCTGGACCAAACTTGGCATGAATATTCAATATGGCCAAATGTGAACACTGGTGGAATTTGGGGAAAACAGACTTTGGCATTTGGGAGTTCCAGTTACTGGGATTTATAGTTCATCTACAATCAAAGAGCATTCTGAAGCTCACCAATGATAGAATTGGGCCAAACTTCCCACACAGAACCCCCATGAGATGATCTTTGATGACCCCTCTGACACGCTCTCATGACCCCCCCCCCCCCGGGGTACCAACCCCCAGGTTGAGAAACTCTGATGTAATGGCACACAAGTAATTCAGCTGTTAAACTGAAGAACCATGTCTTTAAACTGCCAAGGATAAAGACATGCCACTACAAAAATATATTTGGTTAGCAAAGGATGATTGTTTCTTTGCAGTTGAAGTTGCCCATCTACTCTCCCTTAAAAGACTCTTGTTTGAAACATGCACTCAAAAAACAAAACAAAGTAATCTTCTTTGAAAAATAAAACTTCAGGTTTACTAAACAAACTTCTTTCTATATATTCACCATACAGGCACATGCAGCTCCGGTATAATCCTTTCACCAGACACATTAATTTCAATAAGAGAGGGAAGCTGACCATAAAGCTGAACTTCCCAATGAAAGAAGTAAGTAATGCAATGAATCGGCAAGGGAAGCACATCCTCAGCCTGAAATCTTGGACAGCAACTTGTAGTCATTTACCTTTGGAATTCATGCAAATCATTCCAGGACCGATCACTGCAACCTTCTCCAACCTGGAGGCAAACCACTTAAGACCCTCCCAATTCTTTTGGACTGCAACATCCATACACCTTGTCAGCATAGCCAGTGATTTTTTTTCCATGTCAGGAGCGAATTGAGAAACTGCAAGTTGCTTCTGGTATGAGAGAACTGGCCATCTGCAAAGATGTTGCCCAGGGGATGCCCGGATGTTTTGATATTTTACCATCCTTGTGGGAGACTTCTCTAATGTCCCTGTACGGGGAGCTGGAGCTGACAGAGGGAGCTCATATGCGCTCTCCCCGGATTCGAACCTCGGACCTATCGGTCTTGAAGCCTGCCAGCACAAGGGTTTAACCCATTGCACCACTGAGGGCTTCAAAGCCAGTGGTGAAGGATGATGAGAGCTATATTCATTGCCCATCCCATGAGGTAGTAAACATTCTACACAAACGTGGTTCTTCAGACTGCATACGGGGGATGTAGCTGAGTTTCCTTTCTACCCAGAAGTTTAACATTCCCTGCATGGAGAAACCAAGCATCTCAGGGGAGAAACTTTAATTTTACTTTGTTTCTCCAGGCAGGAGGTGGGTAACTTAGAATCATAGAGTTGGAAGAGACCTCATGGGCCATCCAGTCCAACCCCCTGCCAAGAAGTAGGAAAATCACCTTCAAAGCACCCCCAAAAGATGGCCATCCAACTTCTGTTTAAAAGCCTCCAAAGAAGGAGCCTCAACCACACTCCGGGGCAGAGGGTTCCACTGCTGAACAGCTCTCACAGTCAGGAAGTTCTGCCTAATGTTCAGGTGGAATCTCCTTTCTTGTAGTTTGAAGCCATTGTTCCATTGCATCCTAGTCTCCAGGGAAGCAGAAAACAAGCTTGCTCCTTCCTCCCTATGACTTCCTCTCACGTACTTATACATAGCTATCATGCCTTCTCTCAGCCTTCTCTTCTTCAGGCTAAAGAGGCCCAGATCTTTAAGCCGCTCCTCATAAGACTTGTTCTCCAGACCCTTGATCATTTAGTTGCCTTCCTAGGGCACATTCCATCTTGTCAACATCTCTCTTCAATTGCGGTGCCCATAATTGGACACAATATTCCAGGTGTAGTCTGACTAAGGCTGAATAGAAGGGGAGCATGACTCCCCTGAATCTAGACACTATACTCCTATTGATGCAGGCCAAAATCCCATTTTCAACTTGTGACCCTCCAGATATAGCTGGACTGAAAATCCCATCAGCCTTAGTCAGAATTCCTAGTGGTGATTGATTATAGTCCGTCCTGTATTCCACACATGCAACTGGAGATTTAAAAATGAAGGAAACATATATTTTTGGATTCTTGCTCCTATCATCCCCAAGAACCTCCATCTGTTGGGGGTGCTTTGAATGCAATTTTCCTGCTTACTGGCAGGGGGTTGGACAGGATGGCCCATGAGGTCTCTTTCAACTCTGTAATTCTGAGAACCTGCCCTGGAGATTCTGGGTGTTGCAGTCCACAAACTCATCCAATCTCTGGAAAAGCAAAAAAGACAACCGACAGGCAGGTCTCTCTTACCTGTTCTGTCCGTCTCCAACTCCCCGACCGGGGTGGCCGGCAAGGAGTTCCAGGGTCGCGCTTGATCATGTTGCCGATTTTTCTGCCTTGAACGCAAAATAGCCCCCGGGTTTGGCAGGATGCTGATGTCGTCTTGAGAGAAAAGCTGGGCCTGAAGTGCACGAAGGGTGAAATCAAGATCAAGACGGGGCTATTTCAGTAGGAAGCTCAGTATTCCTTAATTTGGACATTTTTTTGTTGATGTTTTCCCACCCAACAGGTCACTAGTGTCTATAACAGCCAAATAAGGCACTTTTCTGAGATTGAGTGTCCAAAGTCACCCACTGGGTTTACATGGCTAAGCAGGGATTCAAATCCTGGTATCCCTGAGTCCTAGTCAAAAAATTCAACCCACAACACCATATTTACTCAAAGCGAGTTATAAACTATTTTACAATACCCTGATGTGACTTGTTCCTTTATCCTTCAAAGTAGAAAGTGTGCTGTGTACCGTCAAGACATTTTTGAGTTATGACAACACTAAGGCAACCCTCCCATTGGATTTTCTTAGCAAGGCTTGTTCAGAAGAGAATTGCCATTGTCTTCTGAGGCTGAGAGAGTATGACTTGCTGAAGGTCACCCACTGTGTCTGTGGGGATTCGTGGGGATTCAAACTCTTTTGTCTCCAAGAATCCTAATCCAGCACTTTATCAACCCACAGAAAACAGGGGGGAAATGAGCAAGACCAATCTAATTCTGCAATACCCGCGTCTGGGATGGACAACATATAAATAATAATAATAATAATAATCATCATCATCATCATCATCATCATCTTTATTTATACCCCGCCACCATCTCCCCAAAGGGGACTTAGGGCGGCTTACATGAGGTCGAGTCTGGAAATACATTACAGCAAAATACATAATAAAACCAAAACAACCTAGGAATACAATAAAATAAAGCAAAGTAAAACAAAACAAAATAAAGCAACGAGAAATCAATCACAATTAGCAGGCCATGTGTACAAAATAAAATGATAAAACTCTGGATGAGAAACTGAAAAAGAAATGTCACTCTAGGGTTTGTTGCTGACCTGCAACTTCATTCAGTCTTTACTCTTTGCAATCCTGGCTATAGATGATGAGAGCTGCAGCCTAAATGGAAGCTTACAATATGCCAACTTCCAGCCTGTTTTCACTGCCAGACCTCTCCAGAGATTCAAGAAAGCAGTTCTTGCAGCACTTTTTTCCGTGTCAGAAGCAACTTGAGAAACTGCAAGTCGCTTCTGGGGTGAGAGAACTGGCCATCTGCAAGGACGTTGCCCAGGGGACACCTAATTTTTTTTTACCATCCCGTGGGAGGCTTCTCTCATGTCCCCACATGGGAAGCTGGAGCTGACAGATGGGAGCTCACCCCATCTCACAGATTCAAACTGCTGACCTTCAGATCAGCAGTTCAGCTGAACCCATTGTGCCACCGCAGCTCCTTTTGCAACACTATCTAGATGGGTTAGGAATTGAACCCAAGGCCTTCTGCACGCAAACCCCTTCCCATGGTATAATGAGAGGAGAAAGGCACTGGAGACATTGCATTAGATTGGTGCCACCCAAACTTTGTTTCAGCTAATGTTTTTAGCTTCAGCATGCAGAATTCTTTACTACTTGGCAAGACATTTGGGGGTTCTGGGAGCTGAAGCCCAAAATACTTCGAAGACCCCACATTTTGAGAAATGCTGCCTTAAATCAGTGTTTCTCAACCTGGGGGTTTTGACCCCTGGGGGGGGGGTCATGAGAGAGTGTCAGAGGCGTCGCCAAAGTTTAATCTTAATCTTTGAAACACAACGTCAACAAAAAGTGACCTCCATCACTTCCTGTTATTTAAAAAAAGGCTTCTCCTGGTCCAAAATGTTTGAAAAGGTCTTTAGCCTTCCCTGCCAAAAGGGTTTGTGCCTCACCAAACTACCTCTTCCAGGATTCCACAGCATCAAACCATGGCAGCGAAAGTGGTGTCAAACTACATTAATTCTGCAATGTAGATGTACCCTGAGAGGGAGATTGAAAATGTGGCAGCAATAATTTAAAGCAGGAAGTGTGTCGCTGGGCTGAGTCAAGAGGATATTGCATACAACCATCCTGTAAAACTAAGCTATTGCTTTTCACCAAGGAAGGGTTTCTTTTTTCCAACCACAAAATGGATGTCAGAATAGTTCCACCTTGTCTCCTGTGCTATGCTAATAATATAATATAATGTAATCATAGAATCATAGAATCAAAGAGTTGGAAGAGACCTCATGGGCCATCCAGTCCAACCCCCTGCCAAGAAGCAGGAAAATTGCATTCAAATCACCCCTGACAGATGGCCATCCAGCTTCTGTTTAAAAGCTTCCAAAGAAGGAGCCTCCACCACACTCCGGGGCAGAGAGTTCCACTGCTGAACGGCTCTCACAGTCAGGAACTTCTTCCTCATGTTCAGATGGAATCTCCTCTCTTGTAATGTAATATAATATATTGTACATACACAAAATATTTATAATATTATAATGTAATACAATATACTACTACTACTAATAATAATATATTATAATTATAATAATATATAAATTATATTATATTGTATATACATATACTATTTATAATATTATAATGTAATACAATATACTACTACTAATAATAATATGATATTATAATTATATATTTTATATTACATGTAATAATACTAATAATATTAAAATATAATGGTATAGTACAATGATATAGTTTGTGTAAGTGCTGCAACAATTGGCAATGACGATTAGAACGGAACATGGATAATGAGATTCAGATTATGATTCAACAATGAGACGTGGCGAATGATTTAGTGTAACTGTATTATTGATAGTGCTGTTGTTTATTGTTGATGTGTAATTGCTTTGTTGAAATTGTACCTGGTTTTTATATGTTGTACACCGCCGTGAGTCGCCCTAGGGCTGAGAAGGGCGGTCTACAAATGTAGTAAATAAATAAATAAATAAATAAATAAAATATAATACTGATATTGTACTATGCAAATAATATAAAATACTGTATGTATATATATCTTGTAAGCTGCTCTGAATCCGGTTTGGGATGAGAAGGGCGGCATATAAATGTCGTAAATAAATACATAAATAATTATACTATTATTTAGAATCATAGAATCTATTATTCTAAATAATAATCTTTGCAGATCAAGCACACTGCTGCTCAAGAGTCAGGAATCCACAGTCCCCAAATATTTCCTCTTTGCCTTCCCACATTCATAGCCACGTGTTACTTTTTTTTAATTACTAAGAATTCTTGGATGCATCTATACTATAGAATTAATGCAGCCATGGCTCAATGCTATTCAATCTTGGGAGTTGTAGTTTGGTGAGGAACCAGCTCTTTTTGGTAGGGAAGGTGAGAAGATGTCATCAAACGACAGGGACTGGGATTCTATAGCTTTCAGCCATGGCAGTTAAAGTGCTCTCAAACCTCATTGATTCTACATTGCGAATCAGTGGTTCCCAACCTTTGGTCCTCCAGGAGTTTTGGACTTCAGCTCCCACAATTCCTAACAGCTGGTAATTAGGTTCTGGGAGTAGAAGTGCAAAACACCTGGAGGAACAAAGGTTGGGAACCACTGGAAATACACCCTATTATAGTCACTGTTTTGCTGGTTGGGATTTCTGGGAGTTGAAGTGCAAAACACTTGGAGGAACAAAGGTTGGGAACCACTGGGTTGTTGTAGGTTTTTCGGGCTATATGGCCATGGTCTAGAGGCATTCTCTCCTGACGTTTCGCCTGCATCTATGGCAAGCGTCCTCAGAGGTAGTGAGGTCTGTTGGAAGTAGGAAAATGGGTTTATATATCTGTGGAATGACCAGGGTGGGACAAAGGACCTTTGTCTGCCAAACTCTTTTTCCTAGTTCCAACAGACCTCACTACCTCTGCGGATGCTTGCCATAGATGCAGGCGAAACGTCAGGAGAGAATGCCTCTAGACCATGGCCATACAGCCGAAAAAACCTACAACAACCCAGTGATTCCGGCCATGAAAGCCTTCGACAATACATTGGGAGTCACTGTAAATACACCCTATGATAGTCACTGTGTTTGCCTCAGCACTGCTGGTCACAGCTGACCTCCAACTGGAGGTCAGCTGTGACCAGCAGTGTTGCAGAATTCGAAGAGGCACAAATGGAGGGTGAAAAGAAGAAATGTGCCAAGAGGAAAGTGCATTATGCCAACCCTGCCCGGGATCGCCTTCCACCTAGAAACCGATGTCCTCACTGCGGGAGAACATGCGGATCAAGAATAGGGCTCCACAGCCACCTACGGACCCACCACCAAGACACTACACTTGGAGGGCCATCATCCTCGGGCTATGAGGGATCGCCTAAGCAACTAAGTAAATAAGTAAGTTTGCCCCATAACATCCTAGTAGTTTGGAGCCCATGTTCACTCTCCTTGGGAACAGGTGAGAATCCTGCAAGCTCTCCAGATGGTATTGGGACTTGCACTCCCAGCTGCTGTAAAGAATGCTGGGGCTTGTAATTCAATGATACACAGCCAGCCGCCCACTATCCCTTCACGTGCCTTCAGAGGTATTCCCCTTACCTGTTCTCCCTTGGTGAGGGCAGCGGGTTCGCCACACGGTAACATCTCTCCTTTCTCCATGGCCGTATCCATTTTGTGCTCCATTTCCTTGGCTGGTTCCCAGTCGGCTGCCTGGAAGTTTTCTCCGGGGCAGAAGGTAAAGAGAGGGCTTGTTTGTCTTCTCCCTACGAAGTCAAAGAAGGAAGACACTAAGCAGACACCTTGACACTCGGCCCCTTCCGCTCTTGGAGAGAGATAAACGAAGCCAAGCGTGTGAGCATTATTCGTACAGGAAGGGAAAATAACACGCTCCAGTTAAATCCCCACTTTGGTGCCCTATTAATAAATCATATCACTGCGGTCCACATATAGGCATAAGCACTCATGCCTCCTCCTCCTCCTCTCTGGGAAGACAGGAGAAGGCTCATGATTTATTTCTCATCCTCAACCAGGAAGGATCTCTCAACACAGTGCACAAAAGAGTCAACAAGAATGGCCTTTTTTGCATTATTCCTAGTATTTTTTTCCGTGTCAGGAGCGACTTAAGAAACTGCAAGTCGCTTCTGGTGTGAGAGAATTGGCCCTCTGCAAGGACATTGCCCAGGGAGCACCCGGATGTTTTACCATCCTGTGGAATGCTTCACTCATGTCCACACATGGGAAGCTGGAGCTCACAGGTGGGAGCTCACCCTGCTCCCCAGCTTCAAAACAACGACCTTTCAATCTGCCGGCACAAGGGTTTACTGCCATTGGAGGCTCCAAGAACCCACTGAAAACAGAGGATCATTTTTCCTTATTGCCAAATGGTTACAATGAATTAAAGAAAGAATGCACCAAAAATGGGAGGCTGTCATGATCTTAGGTAGTCACACTCCCTTAGCCTCAGAGGGAGGCAAAAGGTAAGCCCATCCCAGAATAAACCCTGTGTTATTACCACATTAAGAAGCCTATAAATTTGAAATTTACTTATTTATTATTTATTTATTTCAGATATTTGTACCCTTATCAACACCCCCCGGGGAGGGGGACTCAGGGCAGCTTCCAGACTGCAACAATTCGATGCCTCCAATGTAGACATAATAAAATCTATATAAATAAAAATGCAATGTTCATTTGTGGGATAAGGGTAAAGGTTTTCCCCTGAAATTAAGTCCAGTCATGTCCAATTCTGGGAGTTGGTGCTCATCTCCATTTCTAAGCCGAAGAGCCGGCATTGTCCATAGACACCTCCAAGGTCATGTTGCCGGCATGACTGCATGGAGCGCCATTACCTTCCCGCCTGAGCAGTACCTATTGATCTACTCACATTTGCATGTTTTTGAACTGCTAGGTTGGCAGAAGCTGGGGCTGACAGCAGAAGCTCACACCGTTCCCCAGATTTGAACCTGCGACCTTTCGGTCAGCAAGCTCAGCAGCTCATCGCTTTAACCCACTGTGCCACTGTGGGATTAACATAATTCAAAAACCACTGGCCGAATTGACACCAAATTTGGACACAATCCACCTATCAGGCCAACGAGTGACCATCACTCATAAAAACACTGAAAAACACAGTGGAAGAGACATAAAAAGCAAATAAAAAATACATTACAACGCATGCACAAAACTACATATATATGCAAACACACATATATACATATAAGGTAAAGGTAGTCCCCTGACATTAAGTCCAGTCATGTCTGACTCTGGGGTGTGGTGCTCATCTCCATTTCTAAGCCGAAGAGCCAGCGTTGTCTGTAGACACCTCCAAGGTCATGTGGCCAGCATGACTGCATGGAGCGCCGTTACCTTCCCGCCGGAGCGGTACCTATTGATCTACTCACATTTGCATGTTTTCGAACTGCTAGGTTGGCAGAAGCTAGGGCTGACAGCGGAAGCTCACGCCGCTCCCCGGAATTGAACCTGCGACCTTTCGATCTACAAGCTCAGCAGCTCAGTGCTTTAACCCACTGAGCCACCGGGGGCTCCTATATATACATATATACACAAATATATACATACACATATATATATACACACACAAAACACTTATGCACAGACTGGGTCACAGCAACATAATAAAATCCAATAATTACATACATTTAAAACATTAAATCACATTAGTTACTTAATTAAAATCTGTTTCAGCCTGGAGTCATGCCATTATACCAGTGACAGACTGACAACATGATGGAGATAGTGGCTTGGAAGTTGGACTATGGCTACATTGACACTTAAAGCAGATCAACTGCCATGGTTCAATGCTACCGAATCCTGGGAGTTGCAGTTTGTCAAGGTCTTTAGCCTTCTCTAACAAAAGGTGCTAGCGCTTCACAAAAAATACAAATCCCAGGATTCCACGGCATTGAGCCAAGGTTGTCCAAGTGGCGTCAAACTGCATTAAATCTATAGTGTAGAGCAGTGGCTCTCAACCTTTGGTCTTCAAGGTGTTTTGGACTTCAGCGTCCACAATTCCTAACAGCTGGTCCAAAACAACTGGAGGACCAAAGGTTGGGAACCACTGGTGTAGAGGTACCCTTGGACTCGGAGGACAAAGTGAGAATCCCTGCTCAGTCGTAGAAATGCACCAGGTAACTCTGTGGCAAGTCACACTCTCTCAGCCTCAGACAGCAAGGCCAGGGCAGATTCCCTCTGAATAAAGCTTCCCAAGAAACTCCATGAAGCTGCAAGGTTTTGCAATGGTAATAAAGGTGATTAACTGCAATATTCACACTTGCCTCCAACAGACAAGAGTTCTTTCTCCCACCCTGGACCTTCCACAGATATATAAACCTCCCTTGCTTAGCTTCCAATATACCAGCCAGGCTTTGAAGCTGCAAGGCTACTGAATGCTAATCAAGATGATCAATTACAACATTCACAGTTGCCTCCAACAGACAAGAGTTCTTTCTCCCACCCTGGACATTCCACAGATATATAAACCCCACTTCCCTACTTTCCAACAGACCTCACAACCTCTGAGGATGCCTGCCACAGATGTGGGTGAAATGTCAGAAGAGAATGCTTCTGGAACACAGCCAGACAGCCCGGAAAACTCACAGCAACCCAACTCCACCGTTTGGCCTTGGGGTCACCATTCTTTGGAAACAGCTTGAAGGCACATAACAATGTACAAAAAAACCCCTCATAAATCAGGCCCAGTGGGGAGCCAAGGGAACTTTCAAATAATTCATTCTTGAATGCAAAAAGAGAGAAATGAATTGAGTAAAGATTTACATCCTTCCTCTTCCCAAGAAAAGGTAATTATAATGATTTATATATATTTTTTGTTAAAGGCCAGGGGGTTCTGCCAAATCAAGAGGGAATGAAATGGAAGTTAAGTCTACCATCTCACCCAAAGGAATTCAATGTATTGTTGAAAGCTTTCATGGCCGGAATCACTGGGGTGTTGTGAGTTTTCCGGGCTGAATGGCCATATTCTAGAAGCATTTTCTCCTTATGTTTCACCTCCATCTATGGCAATGGGGTGTTGTGAGTTTTCCAGACTGAATCGTCATATTCTAGAAGCAGTTTCTCCTGATGTTTCACCTCCATCTATGGAAAAAACATCCTCAGAGGTTGTGAGGTCTGTTAGAAACTAGCAAAACGGGGAAGTAAGCCCCATTTCCCTAGTTTCCAACCGACCCCACAACCTCTGAGAATGCAGTCAAAACGTCAGGAGGGAATGCTTCTGAAACATGGCCATACAGCCTGAAAACTCACAACAACCCAAAAGGCATTCAGTTTGTATGTTTCTATGCCACTCATAGAAATGAATGGCATAGTGGCCGAAGTGGGTTAAACAGATGAGCTGCGGAACTTGCTGACCAAAAGGCTGCGATTTAAATCCATGGAGCAGGGTGAGCTCCCATTATTAGCCCCAGCTTCTGTCAACCTAGCAATGCGAAAACATGCAAATGTAAGTAGATCAATAGATACCGCTCTGGCAGGAAGGCAGCGGTGCTACATGCAGTCATACTAGCCACATGATCTTGGAGGCGTCTACAGACAACCCCGGCTCGTCAGCTTAGAAATGGAAATGAGCACTACCTCCCAGAGTTGGACACAACTAGACTTAATGTCAAGGAGAAACCTTTAGCTTTACTATGCCATTCATGGTGGCTCTATCTATCCAATATTTCAGTAAGTGTTCTTTTTAAAGGCAAGAACTGGCAAAATCAGAATAATAATTAAGATTTCAACATTTTTACAGCTGATACATCATATGGCCCAAAAAGGTGAACATTTGTATTGTTGAAGGCTTTCATGGCTGAAATCATTGGGTTGTTGTGAGTTTTCTGGACTGTATGGCTATGTTACAGAAGCATTCTCTCCTGATGTTTTGCCTGCATCTATGGCAGGCATCCTCAGAGGTTCTGAGGTTTCACAACCTCTGAGTTTGCCTACCATAGATGCAGGAAAAAGGTCAGGAGAGAATGCTTCTGGAAAATGGCCATACAATTATGATTACCATCTTCAACCAAGAAGGATCTCTCAACACAGTGCAGAAAAGAGTCTACAAGAATTTTTATTGCAACCTCTGAGCATGCCTGCCATAGATGCAGGCGAAACGTCAGGACAGAATGCTTCTGGAATATGGCCATACAGTTATGATTACCGTCTTCAACCAAGAAGGCTCTCTCAACACAGTGCAGAAAAGAGTCTACAAGAATTTTCATCACAACCTCTGAGGATGCCTGCCATAGATGCAGGCAAAACGTCAGGAGAGAATGCTTCTGGAACATGACCATACAGTTATGATTACCGTCTTCAACCAAGAAGGATCTCTCAACACAGTGCAGAAAAGGGTCTACAAGAATTTTCATTGCAACCTCTGAGGATGCCTGCCATAGGTGCAGGCGAAACGTCAGGAGAGAATGCTTCTGGAACATGGCCATACAGTTATGATTACCGTCTTCAACCAAGAAGGATCTCTCAACACAGTGCAGAAAAGAGTCTACAAGAATTTTCATCACAACCTCTGAGAATGCTTGCCATAGATGCAGGCAAAACGTCAGGAGAGAATGCTTCTGGAACATTGACATACAGCCTGGAAAACTCACCACAACCCAGGTGAACATTTGCTGTGTGCCTTCAAGTCATTTCCAACACTATCCCAGAGTTTTCTTGGCAAGATTCGTTTAGAGGGGGGGTTGCTTTTGCTTTCTTCTGAGGCCGAGAGAGTGTGACTCACCCAAGGTCACTT